GTGTCTTTCCTCAACATGCTACAGTTTTGAAGTGACTTGTTGTTTTCAATTAAAGTTAATAGAGCCACTAAACTTATACACTCCAGTAACTCAACGAATTATCCCCGTAAGATATGACCAATAATGAAGGTGACGTGTACAACTCACATCAACCAAAGAAGCCCAAGCCGCTGTCAGGTATCTGTATAAGCAGCTTTGTGACAGATGGACTAATTGACCCGTTTCAAGCATCAATTCCTGGTCTTGAAACAAGGCGGCCGATGGTGCAAGAACTGAGCATAGAAAATAGACTGCAAACGAATGCAGCAGTGACGCGCCTGAAAGAACGCCAAAACAGAAGAGAAGGGTACATGTGGTGAGCGTGTAGCCCATTGCCAAGCATGAAAATATTTGAAACAGAAAACTAACGCTGATCAAGAGGAACATCGAGAAGATTGAAAGTAGGCGAGACCAGACACATGCGTTTATAGTTTATCGTCAGCTTCATAAGAGTGTTGACAAGAAAACCGGTTAACCGTGAAACAAATAGGCTTGGACGTTGTAGTACAGTGTTAGGCAGTCCACAGATGTGACCGCACCTGCATTAGCTGTGGATGTACTGGCGTTTCAGTTTCCATCACTTAAGAATTGCACTCCTTCCCCGAAAAAGGTACCGATGAATCTAAAAACTACTCTGTTGGCGTAATCTACGGACGTGGCTGCTGGCAGTATACAGATAATGCACAGAAGTATGTATTCAGTATGGATTTAAGGTAGATGCGCGTGCTCAGTCGGTAGAATACACATGATCGGGTATGAAGAAATTTCAAATTTCTTCAAACTGATTGGTCAGAATGCATGTTTTTGAGGGCACTAAAACCACGGCTGAGATACATCTACGGGTAAACAAAAACATACCATGAAACGTTACGTGATATCACCGCTGTCGGTAAAAGTGCTTGGACCGTTTTCCAGTGATAATCTTAGCATTATGGCTATCAGGATTCGATGTTTATTGGAGTATTCACCTAATGAATGGTTCATTGCCTTTTGGACAGCTGGTTGTATAGTATTGGGATATGAGAAAGGCACAGTGATCAGATGTGGAGCCAGTTCCAACAGTAGAACTTATGTGGGGACATATTTACAAGCATTTGTTGGGACCTATCGGGATATTTACGACGAAATTGATTTTCAGGCTCCTTGGATGTTGTATCGGTCATCGCTACGGCCAGAATTTCTACAGTGAATGTCCTTAATGTCATTTTTGTGCATTAATGCACTATTTTTGTCACGCTCCGTGGTAAATTATTTGTCTTCATGTGGGTGAGCAATCAAATATTCTCTCACTCTCGGTGCCTTCCAACACGCCCAACACCCATCTGTAGGCATTGTTGAAGTGAGCACGATACTTGAATATCTGTCTACGGTAGTCCAATTACATGTTTCGTTTTTCTTCTGCATTGTAGTTTAGTCAAAATTTTGATATCCGACTAACCCAGTGAATTTGGACATATTTTAAATTACACTTATCCCCTGAATGTAACTAAATATAATTATCTATGTTCACCATTACCTAACTCTTCTTTGATTCAGCTTACGTGATCGCTTTTATCTCACAACACGTCGAACACCAATTTTACAGCACAACTATTTTAGTGGGATACTCGGAGCTACCCCTCAAAAATGTTACATTATTTGCTGAGTCACGATAGAAGAGCAAATGTACGGCAGTGCTTAGAAGAAAGCAGGACCATGTTAACCAACAGCAAGCCAAAAAGGTTAAAAACGTCTACAAGCTAGTTAATTCCGACGAAAAAGGACATAAAGTGGAAGTACTGCTACAAGCGTTGAAAGTCATTTTCATCGCATAGGTTAATAAGCACTCAAAGTGGAACCATAACCAATGGACCAAAACGAAATGCCGTGTTCGTGCAAAATTATTCTGCTCCTTTTTTGAGTTTATCGAAATTGAAGAGGTTTTTATGACCAAGATGTCGGAGCAAAAGGAACAATTCACCCAAACCGTGCACGCTATTTGGAACAGAAAGACCACAAGGAACGAACGCACCAATACTTCGAAACAGACTACATATTTCTTGCTTCAAAAGCCAGTCCGCAACGTTGAAATTCACATGACGCACACCTACAATTGGCCATCAAATACGGAATTTCTCCAGTTTCAAATGGGCATGAGTGTGGATGTTCAAAAGGCTGCTACCTAATGTTGCGCGTATTCAAGACTCTATTCTGGTTGTGTTCTGAGTACACTGGGGACACTCAGCCCTACTTCACCTGGGTTCTTGACTGAGGGCCTGTAATTTGCATACCAGCTGACACCTAACAAGGCTCGAAGCGCTGTGACAAATGTTCGCATGTGTTCATTGAGATCAGAAGGACCTGAGACTTGACGAACCACACAACACCATTAATTCAACAAGTTGGAATTAGTGGAGTGGTTTGCAATGGATAAAATCATTTATTTCTCCGACGAAAGTGCAGACGGTGTCAACCGACTTTATTTCCGAAAAAAAAGTTTGCAATACTGTGCATCAGTGGGCAGTTATTGAATCCAAATGTCTAATAATTTACGAACTTTCTACCAGCGAGTCAGCTGCGTCAAGTCTCATGTGCACATAAACAAGATGGTATCCTTGAAAACTGAAAGTCAAATGTTTATGGTCGTTCACGATACTACTGTGCAAGATAATGTGTATACCCAGTAAATAATCTATTCCTGTAGTAACTCTATCCTGGTATCCATTGAACCAAAAGCGTACACCGAATTTTCGAGAGAAAAACGTACAACGCGAATATACGTTCAACGGAAGACGGCAAGAAAATGGCTAAACAGAGCGTGGAATAATCGGTTAGCAGATTGCGCGAAACGAACAGGAAAATTTGAAACTGAGGCACGTGTGGAGGTAAAAAAATAAATGAAATAAGGTACGACTGAAAGTGGGTAGACGGAATGGAGAGATACATGAATTCGAAAACTCGAGTAGGACGATTGAGGCATTGAACGCTATTTCCGCATCGGCCAAATTCCGACAGATGAGGGCAGGGAACTAAAGGTATATATCAGCCATAACTCGTGTTTGAGCCCAACAGGTTTGGGGTTGATTTAATGATCAGGAAAAGGCCTTTATGATACACACACTTGTTTCGAAATTGCCCTATGATATCTGTGAGTTATCCCACAGGTGCAATCACTCAAAAGCCTCCATCTAAAGTGTCATCGAAATGGTAGTGGTTTCGATGCACCACATCCGCAAAGTGGGAGAACAACGTTGCATCTAAGGATTCACTTCCTCCAAAGTCCGGTGACTAGTTTAGGCCTTTGATGGGCCAATTTCCCGAAAGATACACTAGAGGAAAGAAATTTCGTGCTTATAATGTCCAGAATATTTAGAACGGAATGAGCAGGGTACAAATTCACTGTCACTCCAAATTGCCTGAGTCACATTTAAATTTGCGCCAATCAGTTTCCGTGTGGAATACCACTGTTCAGGCCACAAAAACATACCCTCATCGGTACTTGTCAAATGCAACAACCTCTTTAGATAGTTGGCAGGTGCTCCTGTGAACACTTCCGTTAAGTTGTACAATATGTTCGGAAAATGCCAGGGGTTTGCATACGTTATCTTTTTCGGAAAAATTCGCTCAGGGTTAGAAAGTTGCTGCGAACAGTTGGTTCGCAGGATCGAAGCGTTTGCTCAAGCTTCGCGGCTGGGTTCGCTCCCGTTTTTAAGTAGCATCCACCCATTTGCCGTGCACTGCTAATGAGGGGCAATGATGCCCTGTGAGGCTTAAGCCAAAAGACTACCACAGAAGGGCAATTAAAAGAGATTTGGGCTTGGTGCCGAATGCTGAATGTTTGAATATGGCAGGAGGTATAACTCAGGCAGCTACCACCTGAAGTGAGGATATTGTTATCCAACAGAAGTTCGCACTCCTGACCCTAGTGTCCGTGCCCGGAGCTCCGCCTTACTTCCTCGGGGCTGGCGGTGGAATAGACATGTGGGTCGATTAATGCTCAAAAGGGCCGAGCTTTGGGCGCACATCCAAAATTTCCCTGAAAACATGGTTCGAAAAAGGAGGACTTTAACAGAAATTTTTAGAAATCGATGCTAATGAAACGGGTCCTTAAGATATCCCCACGTGGCTGCAGTTCTGTTGAAAGTCGGTTAAACGTATTCAAGGCCCACCGTGTGCGCCTGATTCACATTTTTATTGACTGTCATGACTGAGCAAATTTGTCCGTGAAAGGCGGTGGATGATTTTGCAAGGAAGTGGGTCCGTCCATGCTTTTTCTACTTCAGTGCATTTCAGATCGCTTTGAAAGAGTATCCGGCTAACAATTTCACACTTTTCGTTCGCATAGACTCCAAAACGAGCAGCAATTCGATATTTTTATATGAAAAAGCGCTCTACCGTTGTAGCAGACGTCCGTTCAGGCCGCGAAATCCGTCACAGCCGGTACCCGATAGCACAGTTTGTACCTTGCGCGGCAAGATTCCGTGTTCATCGGTACAAAGACTACTTTTTGGTTACTTTTTACCATCTAGCATACCACCAGCCACATAGCAAGCTCATGTTGAAAGGTTCCCTATCAAAGGGCGCCTGGCAAATGTTGAATTAAAGGAGTGTAGTAGCCTTTTGAAGTATGGTTTTCCGTTGCCGGAGTTTGGGCAACAGGTCGCTCATCATTCTGGGAAGGTACATACTATCCAGAATGTGTACAATTATCGCGTCAAATTCCGACCTTTACTATCAAGTAGGTCGGTAGTTACCTTTTATTTATTTTTTGGATGACACGTCGCTCATTACAACTAAGCTTTCAGGGTTTGTTCGCGTACTGTTGATGGAATCCAAGGGTGGTAGTTTTAGCTACGCAGCAGATAACACTCTTTTGACATTTTCCTGATGTGGTAAACGTTGATGCGACAAACCTAACCAACCGACTTGGGTAAATAATTTAAGAGCCTCTGGTGTTAGCTGTTAAGGAGCAAGCTATATACCTTGCTCGTGGCGTATGGCATGGGTATCGGTCGACTCGCAATATATGCCTTCGTGCAAAGCGAGTATTTTGCACCTTCGCGCAAGCTGTTCTGCTTGTTCAACGATAGGGTGGGTGGGCAATATTCACTCAAGTCGTTTGCCACGGACAAGATGACGTCACAAATGTGGGCTGCCAAAGCTGTGGTCGACTGCGCCATAATTCTGTGCTGTTTCCACTCACGGCTAGCCATCCAGAAGCACGTGCGTTCCATTGCGTTATCGTAACTCTTGCAAAAAATTTCTATCCGCGGCCGGCACATATTCCATCGCATGTCCCACCTTGATAATGCAGCCGAGTAAGTGACTGCTCAGTGGACATTAATCACATGGGTTTCGGTAGAATTTTGCGATCCTGCAGAGAACCGACACCGTGTTTTTCGCCTATTTGAGTGCCCACTGGGTGTGTATCACTCGAAAGTTGTCCATTCGTTCACAGCGCAGATTGGTACATTTCTGGAAACCGCCAAGAAAACGCTGACGGGCGCTTGAAGAGGACGTGCATCACACCCAGAACCTGATGCATGCTATCCACAAGGTCTCTCAGCGCAGAAAATGGCTCTTGCGTGCGTATAAGATGCACACCACTCACTAATGTGACCGTGGAGAAATCAGCGAGGGAGACAGCTACGGCCCACGTGTGGTTTCTTGGACGACGCGTCGTTCTCAGGCAAATTGAACATGCACACCAAATCTGATATGCCATGGGACAGATCTCAATGTGTGAAACCCCTTGTTAGTAAAAGTAGGTTGTGATATGCCCCCCCAAATGTTTTCAGACGATTAACACACTGGCTAAAACCTACACATGCACCTTCGGCCAGTCTGTGTGGCTGCCCTGCGTACGCCTATTCTCGGTATTCAGAAGCCACTCGTTCCCCTAAGGTAAGTTGATTAATCAAGCATATAGTAACTAGGTCAATTTCCTATCCATGAACAGCAGTTAGCCGTGTACAACCTACCGGAAGGAGATATAACCCTATTTCTGGTTCCCAGGTCACAGCCATCACCAGTAGAAAGTTTGCACGAGCAGCTGGAACGGTTGGTTGGCAGACTGAAGCTGATGGTGCCACGCTAGAGTGCTAGATGCATTCAGAATTCGATTGTCCAAACGCACCTGGTGTTACGTCAAAATTTAATCACTGTACAGTGCAGCAAGTCTCCGTTGTTGGAGGACAACCGTCCCCAACCAAGGTGGGGTCCTGCGCCGATGGGCGATGTCCCCTGTGGTCCATTTGGCCAGACAACTGGCCCCGCTAACTCCTGGTGTCCGCGAGATCCATCAACATACCACAGTTATTGCTGGGGCAATGAGCCCAACCCACCGCATGGAGATCTTTAGGGGCGTCCACAAGGTAGGCGCACACGCATCCTTTAAACTACTTCCTTTGGCTACCGGTCCGTTGCGCAAACGCAGTCTTCCATTATGGTGCGAGAATCACCCCAAAAGCGAGGCCACTTTTTAGACATCCCTGTTCACCACTCTTAATATTCGGGTTGCGTTGCGTCAAATGCTGCGTCGTTGAACATGGACAATCCCCACCCAGCGGACATTGATCCCTCACCGCCGATAATGTGAGGTACAAAGCAAGGGGTAGGTAAGCAAATAAAAGTAAGCAAATATAATAAGGTAAAATAAAATGAAATGTAATAAGGATGTTTTAACGCGCCTACCTGATGAGCCCCAAGAAGGGCGAAACCGGTCGTGGGCTGTCGATGGATTTTCAGCAACCTTATGAGTAGTACATTACACAAATACATGTTTAAATGCTGTTGTCGAAGATTCATTGATTGTAAATGTTCTCGTTCCGAATATTTGTCCCGCGAAGCTGATGTTCGGAAAAAGGAAACTCAAGGCTCCCTCTTGGGACTACTCCTGTTTCTGATCTACGTCAACGACCTCCCAGACGTTCTTGCGAGTCCATGTCTACTTTTTGCGGACTACTTGAAATCCTGGAGCTCCAATGCTGGTGCCTTCCAATTTGATGTAGACGCTGTCAAGCAGTGGTCGTTGGACTGGCACGTTCCTCTGAATGATGAAAAGTGCGTCCATATGTCGTTTGGAGGGGATTCAGCGAATGCCTTTGTTATGCATGTTGAAAAGGGACCAGAAAACATCATGAGGATAGATGCCAAAAAGGACCTGGGCATCTGGGTCTCTTCAAACTTGTCTTTCACATTGCACCATGAGAGATCGGCCCAAAAGCATTCGCCATTTTACGGATGATCCGACGCACCTTCTCCCGTATGGACTTCCAAATACTCTGTGAGGCCTACGTCAGACCGCTCCTGGAGTACGCCAACCAAGTTGTCTACTCAGGACGCACGAAAGACGTCACCCTCATTGAGCGTGTCCAGCGGGCCGCTACGAGAATGGTTGC